GACACTAGAGAAAAGAAGGGAGAGAGGAGATATGATAGGGACATATAAAATACTCAGGGGAATTGACAAAGTGGAAATAGATGAAATGTTCACACGTAATAATAACAGAACGAGGGGACATGGGTGGAAACTGGAAACTCAGATGAGTCACAGAGATGTTAGGAAGTTTTCTTTTAGCGTGAGAGTAGTGGAAAAATGGAATGCACTTGGGGAACAGGTTGTGGAAGCAAATACTATTCATACTTTTAAAACTAGGTATGATAGGGAAATGGGACAGGAGTCATTGCTGTAAACAACCGATAGCTAGAAAGGCGGGATCCAAGAGTCAATGCTCGATCCTGCAAGCACATATAGGTGAGTACATATAGGTGAGTACACACACACACACACACACACACACACACACACACACACACACACACACACACACACACACACACACACACACAGCCCCCCTGGGCCAGAGAGGCAGGAGCCTCCAGAGTTACGGCAACCATTAGCTCTCATCCCAGGTGGAGATGGCCTCGTTATCTGTAGGGGGAAGCTCAGCCAACTGGGGTCCCGCTCCACTCCCTCACAACCAAAACCGCTCTAATTGCACTACAAATACAAGAGTGTTGGGTGTCTTGCCCATGACTCCGATACGCCCTTAATGACCTCACCTATGTCAAGCCTCGTTCACGGAACTTAATTATCAACAGCAGCAAGGTCAGAAATGGTGGTGGTGAATTATTCCTGGTTGTAGTTCAAGTTTTAGATTGTGAGGCGCTTTGGGGCCTGATTCACGAAGCAGTTACGCAAGCACTTACGAACCTGTCCATCTTTTCTCAATCTGTGGCGGCTTTGTTTACAATTATTAAACAGTTAATGAGCTCCGAAGCACCAGGAGGCTGTTTATAACAATAACAACAGTTGATTGGCAAGTTTTCATGCTTGTAAACTGTTTAATTAATGTAACCAAAGCCGTCAAAGATTGAGGAAAGATGTACACGTTCGTAAGTACTTGCGTAACTGCTTCGTGAATCTGGCCCCTGGAGTGTGAGGCTACTACACCCCCATGACGACTACGGCCTCAGAGAGCGTGCATTAGACCTAGGAAGCTTAGGTTAGGTGTGTACATAACATTGAGTAGAAAATTAGTTTCTAGTTTGTCCAAATTCATTAGTGCTAATTTCTACTTTCCCCGTTGCGTTGTATGTCGATATATGTACTATGGTCCTCATCCTACCTATAAGTACTACCAAAACAGGAGGATGATGGGGCTGGATTCCAATACTATTAATACCTGTAACACCCATGCTGCTGATGGTTGTCAGTTTAGGTCTTAATGTTTAATTTTTATCCAAATTGTTTATGTTCCTAAAAACCTTATCAAAGATAAGTTTTATGACAGCTGTTTAAGGTAGCATGATCAAAATGTGGAAATACTTGATATTAAACATTTGTTCATGATATACCTTGCGGGTGTTATTAGCCCTTTCAACGGTGCTTACCAATAGCACCGATGGAAAATATTGTAAATTATACGTCCACAGGTGAGACTGTGGTGGTAGGGGTCCACAGGTGAGACTGTGGTTGTAGGGGTCCACAGGTGAGACTGTGGTTGTAGGGGTCCACAGGTGAGACTGTGGTCGTAGGGGGTCCACAGGTGAGACTGTGGTCGTAGGGGTCCACAGGTGAGACTGTGGTCGTAGGGGTCCACAGGTGAGACTGTGGTCGTAGGGGTCCACAGGTGAGACTGTGGTCGTAGGGGTCCACAGGTGAGACTGTGGTCGTAGGGGTCCACAGGTGAGACTGTGGTCGTAGGGGTCCACAGGCGAGACTGTGGTCGTAGGGGTCCACAGGTGAGACTGTAGTTGTAGGGGTCCACAGGTGAGACTGTGGTCGTAGGGGTCCACAGGTGAGACTGTGGTTGTAGGGGTCCACAGGTGAGACTGTGGTTGTAGGGGTCCACAGGCGAGACTGTGGTCGTAGGGGTCCACAGGCGAGACTGTGGTCGTAGGGGTCCACAGGTGAGACTGTGGTTGTAGGGGTCCACAGGTGAGACTGTGGTCGTAGGGGTCCACAGGTGAGACTGTGGTCGTAGGGGTCCACAGGTGAGACTGTGGTTGTAGGGGTCCACAGGTGAGACTGTGGTTGTAGGGGTCCACAGGCGAGACTGTGGTCGTAGGGGTCCACAGGTGAGACTGTGTTTGTAGGGGTCCACATGTGAGACTGTGGTCGTAGGGGTCCACAGGTGAGACTGTGGTTGCAGGGGGTCCACAGGTGAGACTGTGGTCGTAGGGGTCCACAGTCAAGAGAATGGGAGAGAGGTTGAGAACACTGGCCCTGAGAGACCTTGATCATAACAAGTAGGGGGCTTCCTGTCCCCAACAACATGAATTACGAACATATAAAGCATAATAGAGAAACCATGCCCCCCCCCCGCCTCCCACGAGAACTCAAATTGTAGGTGTAGGCTGAGGAGCGGAAGCTGCAGGCAAGGTGGCACTGTCTCCAGAGGCCAATTAGGCCAACACGTAGTTAGGAGTGGTTATAGGACGTGAGCCGCCCAGAACAGGGCAACAAGCTGCCTGTTGTGGTTCCCAGATTCACCATTTACCTCACCACCTGCGAAACCTGTTTATCTTTCTTTGATCGTAGTGGCTTAGTCTGTATTTAAGTAGTTTTCCAGCTTCGAAACTTATCAAACTTTGTCTTGAACACCAACAATAATACTATCTAGTAAATATCTAGTTGGTCTATTAAATATGATACAGAAAATAGTTCGGGCGATATGCCTCCACCTGGAGGCTAGTATGATACATGAGCCTCCCTGTGGCTGGAAAGGCGGGGTCCAAGAGCTAATAGCTTCATTTTGCTGTCACAAATAGGTGAGTATACAGACACGTCAAAGGGAAGCCCATCAGTAAGGCCAGACCTCGTGTTAACGCTGAGATGAACACTGACAAGCACCAAATGTCAGTTGGGGCCAGTGTTCACTGTTCTCGAACAGTGTTCACTATTCTCATGAACACTGAGGTAAGAGCAAGCAAAGAGAAGCAAAGGTAGTTCAACACTGTTTAAAATGTAACAACAATAAAAATTAACGCCTGAAAAAAGTAATATTACAATGAACTGTTGAAGAAATTAAAGACAGGGCTTAGGAACACATGGTCGGCCCCGTATGTATATCTGCCTTCACACACCTGGTTAAACAAGTCGCATGCTCCTGTGAATGTTGTCTCGCACGAGCTGGGATGAGGGAGAGGGAGGGAGAGGGAGATAAAGAGGGGATGGGGGGGGGTTGGTTTAAGGACGACCGATACATTTCATTCTGCTAACCAAGCCCTGCGGGCAGCTTCTTTCTGGCCGGGACAAGAGGATTACAGTAAATTCAATTTCCTCCAGAAGAGCTTGCTAAGGTTCTTAGGGCAGGAGCGCCACGCTAAATACCTTGCGTGACTTGTTCTTGTTGTGGCCTGGCTGGTGCCTGGCTGGTGCCTGGCTGGTGCCTGGCTGGTGCCTGGCTGGTGCCTGGCTGGTGCTGGTGCCTGGCTGGTGGCTGGCTGGTGGCTGGCTGGTGCTGGTGCCTGGCTGGTGCCTCGCTGGTGCCTGGCTGGTGTCCTGTGAATAGTACGGAACAACTTTTCTGCGGTACATAAAGTCACAAGAGCTGACTTTATGTACCGCAGAAAAGTCACTTTAAATCAACACTAAAGCATGAAAGAATGAAGAGAGAAATATCGGTGAAGAGCTCAGACCTCCACATGTCTTCTGACTGGGTCAAAAGTACTTTGAATTCCCAGTTCGATCAGAGCCTTTTGGTCTAAGATGTTACCAGCGCATGCTCGCTCTGCATGAGCGGCTGTTTTGCAACCTTGCAGGATGCCGAAACCAAACTGGTTTGGTTTTAACGAGCAGCCCTGACTCGACATACGTTAAACGGTGTGCTACCAACGGCAGGCGACCCCCATCTACCATCCTATGTAGGCTCCAATGAGAGAAATGATTTGAGAAATGGCTCGAATGATTTGTTCATTCGAATGAGAGAAATTTGTTCCACCATTTTATGATATGTATCAGAGATAAATATGTAGATCTGGTTCAGTGGTGGTGTGAGGTGAATGAGTCCACATGTTGGTGGAGAGTGTTTGCATATATATATATAAATATATGTAACTACATACTCTACCTACGCAGAGTTCTGCTCAAGCTTGGCATATACAAGAATAGTGTACATACAGCTAGAGAATATCTTGAATATGCTCATTGGGAGAATGTATTACCTGTATGTATATCCGTATGTATATCTGTATTTATCGAGAACAAAATTATTGAAATCAAAGTACTTAAAATTTTTGGTGATATTTGGCTGCAAAATTTGTGCGTTTGATGTTGCCTGTCTCTGTCAGCCCTCCATGGTGGTGTCAGCCCTCCATGGTGGTGTCAGCCCTCCATGGTGGTGTCAGCCCTCCATGGTGGTGTCAGCCCTCCATGGTGGTGTCAGCCCTCCATGGTGGTGTCAGCCCTCCATGGTGGTGTCAGCCCTCCATGGTGGTGTCAGCCCTCCATGGTGGTGTCAGCCCTCCATGGTGGTGTCAGCCCTCCATGGTGGTGTCAGCCCTCCATGGTGGTGTCAGCCCTCCATGGTGGTGTCAGCCCTCCATGGTGGTGTCAGCCCTCCATGGTGGTGTCAGCCCTCCATGGTGGTGTCAGCCCTCCATGGTGGTGTCAGCCCTCCATGGTGGTGTCAGCCCTCCATGGTGTTGTCAGCCCTCCATGGTGGTTGTCAGCCCTCCATGGTGGTGTCAGCCCACCATGGTGGTGTCAGCCCTCCATGGTGGTGTCAGCCCTCCATGGTGTTGTCAGCCCTCCATGGTGTTGTCAGCCCTCCATGGTGTTGTCAGCCCTCCATGGTGTTGTCAGCCCTCCATGGTGTTGTCAGCCTTCCACAGTGGTGTCAGCCGTACAGCGTCACCCGTCCATGGTGTTGTCAGCCTTCCACAGTGGTGTCAGCCATGCAGCGTTACCCGTCCATGGTGTTGTCAGCCTTCCACAGTGGTGTCAGCCGTGCAGCGTTACCCTTCCACGGTGTTGTCAGCCGTGCAGCGTTACCCGTCCATGGTGTTGTCAGCCGTGCACCAGAGGCGTCTGGTGAGAGACAGGCGGGCGCTCCACCACCGTCAACATTTTCCACTAAGCAGTACAAAAGCAGTTTCATTCCTGGAGGTGATACTTACTGGGATAGAATGTGTGTCTCTCACGTTGGTGAATGTGTGTGTTCCTGTATTACTAAATTGGGTACCCGGCCGTGCCCGGGGTCGACCCCAGAAAGTTGTGCTCTGTAAGAAGCCCAGGTCGACCCAGTTTTTCGGTCGATATATATATAATATATATATATATATATATATATATATATATATATATATATATATATATATATATATATATATATATATTTATAATGTAGTATGAATGAGAACTTAACAACACATCAGAAGATGAGACAACGAAGCTTCGGTCCGTCCTGGACCAGTATCAAATCAGTTATAGTATATGTATATACTATATATGTATATATGTGTATATAATTTAAGTCCACACCCTGCCACACGGAACGATAAACCAACCTATGCTATGTGTCAGACTGATGGACTTATGCTTGTGTAGAGTTCAGCCAGTTGTGTAACCAGTCACTCACAGTCTGTGTACATGTATTGTTTCTGTACAACCTGCAGCCTGGTCCAGTCCGTCCTGTTGACGACTGAACTGAACCGTCGGTGTACACACAGTGATTGATAAAGATTAAGGCACCCAGGAGGTGGCACGGGCATGAATAACCCGTAATACCCAGTGGTGGCGAGACCTGAGGTTTGGGGATTGACTCAGGAGACGAATAATTCGTGTGTGTCAACTTTAAGAAGAACATTCTCATTGCATTCCTTGGTGAGGGATGTGTATGGTACTTGGGTGGTTGAGTACAGATCAGTTGGGATGACAGTGACAGATTATAGTAAGGTATGTTGAGGTTGATGAGGTCTGAGACATTCTTGCTTAACTCGTTTTCTTGATATGATAAATAGTTGTGTTATTGATCATCAGAGTATTGAGGAGAACGGAATAACTTCTGAGTAATGTTGATGTCGGGTCTGTCATGACTTTAGTGCAAAAAGTCCTGTAGAACCTTTGGCACAGTTAACAGAACTAATCTTAGACAGACAAGCCTCTATAGGACTTAAGGGAAGACTGTGGACTAGGGTCCAGGGGCTAGATTCACGAAAGGACTTACGCAAGCACTTACGAACGTGTACATCTTTCCTCAATCTTTGACGGCTTTGGTTACATTTATTAAACAGTTTACAAGCATGAAAACTACCCAATCAACTGTTGTTATTGTTATAAACAGCCTCCTGGTGCTTCGGAGCTCATTAACTGTTTAATAATTGTAAACAAAGCCGCCAAAGATTGAGAAAAGATTTACAGGTTCGTAAGTGTTTGCGTAAGTGCTTTCGTGAATCTGGCCCCAGACACTCCCGAGTAACACGACCACCTCAGCCCTCAACACAAGCTACTAACTCATCTTGAATAACTAACAAGTATCACGGGCTATGGTGAACCCGTAGTGAACTTACCCGCAACAGGAGCGGGGCTGTAACTGTGTGAGAATGGGTGGCAGGGTATTCATTATATGGAGAGAGCGCTGTTGTTATAGATTGTTGTTATAGATTCAGCTACTCGGAACAAGTTCCAAGTAGCACGGGCTATGGTGAGCCCGTAACTAACCTGGCACAGGAGCTGTGCTCTCTGTGAGAGAGCGCTATGCCAGAACGACTATATACCACCTGCAAAGAATATGGGAACAAGAATGTGGAGATAAAGATAAGACGATAAGATTATCTCCAAGACGGAGATAAAGAATGGTGCCCAACCACCTGAACCGTCGGGGGATGGAACGCCGACCTGCAAGTAGTAAGGTCATCACTACCGACCAGCCCAAGTGGCTGGAGACGTAGAAGAGAAGATCATAACACTGACACTGGGAGAGTTACGCTCACTTGAGTGTACAAAAGTCAAACTAGACACAATGTTGATATAACATTTATATAAACACACAATATATATCCAGCTGTTTATACCTGTTATTCTTCCTACAAAGAAATCCAACTTATCCTCCTGTTTACATAGTACTCTTTGTAAAGAGGAGGATACTATATCCTCCTCTTTATATATAGTACCTCTTTATATATATATATAAAGAGGTACTATATATGCACTATAGTACATAGACGTACTGGACAATTAGTAGAATTTGGTACTATTCACTTTATAAGAAAAAAATTAAGCCAAAACCCAAACTTAAAAATTTCTAGGCCTTGTATAGTATACATATGTACTATATTAGGCCTCAGATAGTGTATTAGGCCTAGGAAGGTTAGGTTAACTTTGCAAGATCACTTCAAAAAACATTCCGTTTCCCCCAAATTCAATAGTACCGATTTCTTTCTAATTGCCTTTTTACATCAATATATGTACGATATGTGCCTTTCCATTTGAGACTTTCAGCGCCGTGGAGAGGGGGGACCTGCTGCATGGGTAACAGCTTCTCCCCCGTATCAACCTACCCTGGCTTTGCGCCCTGGAGAGGCCACTCCAGACCGACACCCAGAGCGCACATAGTCTCCCGAGACTGATGGATGCCTACTACTACAATGTACGATGGTGCTCATCGTTACTACTTGTATTACGTCAACATGGAGGCTGGGCTGAGGTGTGTGTAGGGAAGTGAGAGCGGCTCTAACCCAGGCACGCCAGCACCCTCACCCAGCAGCTGCACGCGCCGCTCTGTGCTACCTGGCACAGCTGCCTGGCACAGCTGCCTCACACAGCTGCCTGGCACAGCTGCCTAGCACAGTTGCCTCGCACAGCTGCCTGACACAGTTGCCTCGCACAGCTGCCTGGCACAGTTGCCTCGCACACAGCTGACTGTCACAGCTGCCTGGCACACAGCTGACTGTCACAGCTGCCTGGCACACAGCTGACTGTCACACAGCTGTCTGGCACACAGCTGCCTGGCACACAGCTGCCTGGCACACAGCTGCCTGGCACACAGCTGCCTGGCACACAGCTGCCTGGCACACAGCTGCCTGGCACACAGCTGCCTGGCACACAGCTGCCTGGCACACAGCTGCCAAAGATTTTAAGAAGGGCTCATACACTAGCCACTCCCGTGCCGCCTCCTGTAAGTCCCACGCACATTCGTCGTCATTTCTCCGGGTTCCTTGTAGCAGTTGTAAATATATAATTAAGTAATCAGACTGTGAATGTGCGTATAGAAAAGTTCACCCCAGCGGGGCGGAGAGTTCACCCCCAGCGGGGCGGAGACTTCACCCCCAGCGGGGCGGAGAGTTCACCCCCAGCGGGGCGGAGAGTTCACCCCAGCGGGGCGGAGAGTTCACCCCCAGCGGGGCGGAGAGTTCACCCCCAGCGGGGCGGAGAGTTCACCCCCAGCGGGGCGGAGAGTTCACCCCCAGCGGGGCGGAGAGATCACCCCCAGCGGGGCGGAGAGTTCACCCCCAGCGGGGCGGAGAGTTCACCCCCAGCGGGGCGGAGAGTTCACCCCCAGCGGGGCGGAGAGTTCACCCCCAGCGGGGCGGAGAGTTCACCCAGCACGCAGCGGGCCACACGGCAGCTGCAGCGGGCCACACGGCAGCTGCAGCGGGCCACACGGCAGCTGGGCCAGCAGTTAGCTGCAGCAGCTCTGAGTGGATGAGAGGCAAGAAGTCTTGAGCTGGTGCTAAGCCGCTAACTTTGGCCATCGTGGCCACCAGTTGCCTCTCCGCGTCTCTGCGCCCTCCTCATACTCCAGTTTCTTCTTTGTCTTCCCGCGCGGAACGCTCCCAGATGTTCTTCCTCTCTTACAGGAGCCTCGGAGGCCGGGTGGTGGTGGTGGGGGGGGGGCTGGGGATATATATATTATAACTGGGAAGTTACAATATATATCTGCCAAGGTACAATATATATATCGGCCTAGGAATAAATATATATATATGATGCTAGCAACGTTGCAAGGCTTGACTCGAGCCTTTGAACGCAAGAGTCATAGCGGGGCAGCGAGATGTGAACTGATAAGTGGACAGTATTCCAGAGATGCCGCTGCTGCCGCTGCTGCTGCTGCTGCTGCCGCCGCTGCTGCCGCCGCCGCTGCTGCTGCTGCTACTGCTGCTACTGCTGCTGCTGCTGCTGCTGCTGCTGCTCTCCCGGATACACGTCGCATCCCACGCCGGACGGCTCCCCAACCTCTTATAAATCCCACCTAACGTAACATAACGAGATGTATATATATATATATATATATATATATATATATATATATATGACTGGCACACGTGAGGAACACAAATGCAAACAAGCCTGAATGGTCCCCAGGACTATATACAACTGAAAACTCACACCCCAGAAGTGACTCGAACCCATACTCCCACAACTGGTATGTACAGGGACGCCTTAATCCGCTTGACCATCACGACCGGACAAAAGCCGGATTTGATATGCCAAATGCTATGCCCAAGATTACCATCCGAGTGCCGGCGGGGAAGGGGTTCATATAGCCTCGGCTATCACTTCCTTTTGTCCGGTCGTGATGGTCAAGCGGATTAAGGCGTCCCTGTACATACCAGTTGTGGGAGTATGGGTTCGAGTCACTTCTGGGGTGTGAGTTTTCAGTTGTATATAGTCCTGGGGACCATTCAGGCTTGTTTGCATTTGTGTTCCTCACGTGTGCCCCAAAGAATGAGGTGATTTGATAAAATGCTATGCCCAAGATTACCATCCGAGTGCCGGCGGGGAAGTGGTTCATATAGCCTCGGCTATCACTTCCTTTTGTCCGGTCGTGATGGTCAAGCGGATTAAGGCGTCCCTGTACATACCAGTTGTCGGAGTATGGGTTCGAGTCACTTCTGGGGTGTGAGTTTTCAGTTGTATATAGTCCTGGGGACCATTCAGGCTTGTTTGCATTTGTGATATATATATATATATATATATATATATATATATATATATATATATATATATATGTTGGACTTGATATATATGTACAGTTGTGACGATCGGAAAACGAGCTTTATGTAATGTTTGAACACACTGGGCGGACTTCCAGTGTGGAGTGTGAGGTGTGTGCAGCCTTGCTGAGTACCAAGTGGCTCAGGTCGGAGTGACTTGGTATGTTATGTTGGACTTGGTATGTTATGTTGGACTTGGTATGTAGATGGTGGCTCCTGGACACTCAAGCCTCTCTCGGGACAATGTTTACCTCTGCTGCTGCTGTTAGTGCTATTCCCGCCAAACACACAACGAAACTACAACGTTGCTACAAGGTTCGAACAAGTTTTCACACCTAACCAGTTATAACAACCAATATAGCAAGTTATAACAACGTTCTAATACGTCATAAACACGTTAAGCCAAGATGTAACAACGTTATTACAAGTTGTAACAAGCGGAAAATAGAGACAGTTACGGTTTGTGTTTCCATGGTTGCTACTGTTGTTACTGCTTCGTTGCTGTTCCTACGGTTAAAGGTATGGATATTGTAGATACAGTTACTGCAGGTATTGTTGCTGTTGCTCCAGTGTTTTCTGTTACTACTGATGCTGCTGTTGTCGCAGATGTGACGTCGACGTGTTGCTCGTGTTACGAGGAGCCGGAGCTGTGGTGGTGACGCTGCTGGTCTTGTTTGACTTTTATGGAGGCGACAGGCTCCTTCAGTAATATTGTTGGCTTTCGAGGAAAACATCGTTGTAAGCCGCTTACAACGATGTGATTGCTCCCGCCTTCCTGCCTTGGGGGGGCATCAGTCAAGGCCTTGAGGCGGTAGTTAGTGCCTCGCCCCGGATCTCTTCTTCTCAACACTATGGTCGTACCGGAAAGACGACGAGTCACACTAACGGGGCTGAAGATATGCTAACCAAACCACACACAAGAAGATGGAGAGACGACGACGTTTCGGTCCATCCTGGACCATTATAAAGTCGTGTGTGATCATATTATCACACACGACTGGTTAATGGTCCGCGACGGACCGAAACGTCGTCGCTGTTTCATCTTCTGGTGTGTGGCTTGGTCAACATTCTTCATATCAAGTGCTTGCTTAATGCTGGTCCAACCACTTGGGCTGGACGGTAGAGCGACGGTCTCGCTTCATGCAGGTCGGCGTTCAATCCCCGACCGTCCAAGTGGTTGGGAACCATTCCTTCCCTCCGTCCTATCCCAAATCCTTATCCTGACCCCTTCCCAGTGCTATATAGTCGTGATGGCTTGGCGCTTTCCCCCTGATAGTTACCTTACCTTACCTTGTTTAATGCTGTTAAAAGATGCATAATCAAAAAGGTGAAATCATTCAAGTTATATATTATCTTCCGGTTGATTATAATTGTACAGTGTTTTGTCGTAAGGAACACACCCGCCACGCTGGTCTGAGGGAAGCCTTGGTTACCGACATAATGTTTCAAAACACTGGCAGTGTGGCGCCAGAACCTTCGACGTCTAACCTTCTATAAGTATCCACAGCTTTGGGGAAGTTCTAACTGATGGAGTCGTCTATATTCGCGCTTCGGTTCCACTGCAGATACGCGCTGGCACCGCCAACCAGCCGCGTCGATCCTCTCTTCACAGGACCCAGGTTGTTGACAGATCCCAGTCTGCCTTCAGTCGTTGCCTGATACTCCCTGGTCCCTCCTGGTCCCTCCTGGTCCCTCCTGGTCCCTCTTGAGCCCTCCTGATCCCTCCAGATCCCTCCTGGTCCCTCTTGAGCCCTCCTCATCCCTCCTGGTCCCTCCTGGTCCCTCCTGGTCCCTCCTGGTCCCCCTTGAGCCCTCCTCATCCCTCCAGGTCCCTCCTGGTCCCTCCTGGTCCCTCCTGGTCCCTCCTGGTCCCTCCTGGTGATGCCTCCAGGTCGCTCACGACCAGAAGCACAGCATAAATGCCACTTGCCAGGTCGACAGCCGTTACTTCCGTCACTTCCCACATGACGACAGCCGCTGGTAGTCCGTCCACCGCCAAGCTCCTTTAAGTCACTGACTCCACCAAGTCTCTACAGCAACTTTAAAATTTATGCAGTCATCCTTAACAATCTGTCCTCCAAGTGGTCACATTTTCGTGGCAAGTCATGATAGCAGTCATCCCTGGCTGATTAATTCCCTGCAAGCTTCCTGCATCACTTCTCCGCCCATAAAGCGAAGAACGAGACTGACCCGATGTTCGTGCACACATCTTTGCAAAAAACAAGAGACTAACGGCCATTGTATACAAGACACGAGGCTCTGAAGTGTGAGCAATTGGTGTCAATATTAACACGTGTTGTGTCAATATGACTAGCTATAAGGCAAGGAGTACGCGCCCCCCAGACCTCACAGTAGCCTGGTTGATGATAGCGTGATGCATCTGTGATCAAATAGTAAGGCCTGCTTGATACCTGGTTGATGGGGTTCTGGGAGTTGTTCTACTCCCCAAGCCCGGCCCGAGGCCAGGCTTGACTTGTGAGAGTTTGGTCCACCAGGCTGTTGCTTGGAGCGGCCCGCAGGCCCACATACCCCCCACAGCCTGGTTGGTCCGGCACTCCTTGGAGGAATAAATCTAATTTCCTCTTGAAGGAAACTAGATTGAAGCTTCCTCTTGAAGGCCATGTGTGTACATCACCAAGACATTAACACGTGATAGATATGTTGACTACTGTTCAATAAATCCCTGAACTATATGTTTAACTGATCTCTAACCCTGTCTATGGAGGACACAAGAAAATGTATATATGCTGGTTAGCATTGTAAATGTCTGGCCACGTTTGTGGTAGAAAATAATATAAAAAAAAAACTGACTACGGAGGAAGAAATGGAAACGGGAAATTCCTGAAATACTTTTGTATTAATACAGCTTCAGAAGGATCCTTCTGAAGATGGATTTATTAACACGAAAGTACTCGACGAATTTCCTGTTTCATTTCTTCCTTCGTAGTCAAGTGTCCTATTAAGGTCATGTACTTGGCTCGAACCAGCGTCCTAGACTCCCCCGGCACTACCGACTGGACCATGACGACAGGCCATGGACTGTGATCAAACCCAGAGCGTCCCTGGACTACCTGGTCAATTCGCAAGGAATATTAGGGTGACAGCCTATCTTCACAGCGTGTATATATATATACCCGCACCGACCGCTGCACCCTCGGCTGTATATACCTGCACCTGTGGTTCCATACACCTGTACTGTGGCCAACATTGCTGCGTATATCCCCGCACCGCAGAACCACGCTCGTAAACTACGTCTGCTGTGGACTGAGCTGCCCTCCTGTAGCAGCAACAGCAGCAGCACCAGAAGCAGCAGCAGCAGCAGAAGCAGCAGTAACAACAGCAGCAGCAGCAGCAGCAGCGTGCCTGAGGTCGCCTTTTCCAGACTGTTGACTCGCGCGGCGCCCTGACTCAATATTGTGCAATGTTCTATTCTCTGGAATGTTGGCATTGTTGATCTTTGTAGTGATAGACATCTCCTGGTGGCGGAACCCGGCCGTAGCGGAGGGCAACTCAAACAGTAATCAGGAGGCGGCGGTGAGGGAACTCCTTGTGGGCGGCCTTGAGAGAGAGAGAGAGATAAGGAAGTATAGCTTTAGGAATGACTTTATGGGTGAACAGGATGGCCAAGCATGGAGATAAACAGGTATTTTAACATGTTTCCAGAACACATTGTACAGGTACATGGGGTAAGACGGTTAAACCATGTCGTAGC